ATCCTGCCACTTACATATTTCAGTATGTTATTCAGAAAGACAAAACGAAGAAATGTGCAGTATCAGAATATTTAATCCGGGCGTCCAGGGCCGGACAGGGGCCAGCAATATTTTATAACTTTCTTATTAGGGATCCTGCCACTTACATATTTCAGTATGTTATTCAGAAAGACAAAACGAAGAAATGTGCAGTATCAGAATATTTAATCCGGGCGTCCAGGGCCGGACAGGGGCCAGCAATATTTTATAACTTTCTTATTAGGGATCCTGCCACTTACATATTTCAGTATGTCATTCAGAAAGACAAAACGAGGAAATGTACAGTATCAGAATATTTAATCCGGGCGTCCAGGGCCGGACAGGGGCCAGCAATATTTTATAACTTTCTTATTAGGGATCCTGCCACTTACATATTTCAGTATGTCATTCAGAAAGACAAAACGAAGAAATGTACAGTATCAGAATATTTAATCCGGGCGTCCAGGGCCGGACAGGGGCCAGCAATATTTTATAACTTTCTTATTAGGGATCCTGCCACTTACATATCTCAGTATGTTATTCAGAAAGACGAAACGAAGGAATGTACAGTATCAGAATATTCAATCCGGGCGTCCAGGGCCGGACAGGGGCCAGCAATATTTTATAACTTTCTTATTAGGGATCCTGCCACTTACATATTTCAGTATGTCATTCAGAAAGACAAAACGAGGAAATGTACAGTATCAGAATATTTAATCCGGGCGTCCAGGGCCGGACAGGGGCCAGCAATATTTTATAACTTTCCTATTAGGGATCCTGCCACTTACATATTTCAGTATGTTATTCAGAAAGACAAAACGAAGAAATGTACAGTATCAGAATATTTAATCCGGGCGTCCAGGGCCGGACAGGGGCCAGCAATATTTTATAACTCTCTTATTAGGGATCCTGCCACTTACATATTTCAGTATGTTATTCAGAAAGATAAAACGAAGAAATGTACAGTATCAGAATATTTAATCCGGGCGTCCAGGGCCGGACAGGGGCCAGCAATATTTTAAAACTTTCTTATTAGGGATCCTGCCACTTACATATTTCAGTATGTCATTCAGAAAGACAAAACGAGGAAATGTACAGTATCAGAATATTTAATCCGGGCGTCCAGGGCCGGACAGGGGCCAGCAATATTTTATAACTTTCTTATTAGGGATCCTGCCACTTACATATTTCAGTATGTTATTCAGAAAGACAAAACTAAGAAATGTACAGTATCAGAATATTTGATCCGGGCGTCCAGGGCCTGACAGGGGCCAGCAATATTTTATAACTTCCCTATTAGGGATCCTGCCACTTACATAGTCCAGGTTGATACACAAATTCGGATTATAGGTAATGCACAGTGTCACTCAAGAAATCCCATTGATTTGTTGTAGCAAATACTCTGTATTTGTTAGTGGATTGAAAGTATTCGAGTTATAATTTGGCTTTGGAGGGCACTCACCTGAGTTTAAATTTTCATAAATTTAAGTTTTAAGCTTATTCAAGTGCAAGCATAATATTTTGGCTCAAAATTTGATGATTTGATAAATATCCAGGTAATCGATTAGGAAACGCGTCATTCTGTGTAACGATGGGATTTTGCGGGACGAGCGACGTTAGATCTCGCAATATCACGAAGTTACACAAAAATGAGTTTCCAAACGTATTACCCAATATTTTTTCTCATTTTGACGAGAAAACAGTTATAAAATACATTTCTTCGTTTTGTCTTCCTGAATAACATACTGAAATATGTAAGTGGCAGGATCCCTAATAAGAAAGTTATAAAATATTGCTGGCCCCTGTCCGGCCCTGGACGCCCGGATTAAATATTCTGATACTGTACAGTTCTTCGTTTTGTCTTTCTGAATAAAAAACTGAAATATGTAAGTGGCAGGATTCCTAATAAGAAAGTTATAAAATATTGCTGGCCCCTGTCCGGCCCTGGACGCCCGGATTAAATATTCTGATACTGTACATTTCCTCGTTTTGTCTTTCTGAATGACATACTGAAATATGTAAGTGGCAGGATTCCTAATAAGAAAGTTATAAAATATTGCTGGCCCCTGTCCACCCCTGGACGCCTGGATTAAATATTCTGATACTGTACATTTCTTCGTTTTGTCTTCCTGAATAACATACTGAAATATGTAAGTGGCAGGATCCCTAATAAGAAAGTTATAAAATATTGCTGGCCCCTGTCCGGCCCTGGACGCCCGGATTAAATATTCTGATACTGTACATTTCTTCGTTTTGTCTTTCTGAATAACAAACTGAAATATGTAAGTGGCAAGATCCCTAATAAGGAAGTTATAAAATATTGCTGGCCCCTGTCCGGCCCTGGACGCCCGGATTAAATATTCTGATACTGTACATTTCTTCGTTTTGTCTTTCTGAATAACATACTGAAATATGTAAGTGGCAAGATCCCTAATAAGGAAGTTATAAAATATTGCTGGCCCCTGTCCGGCCCTGGACGCCCGGATTAAATATTCTGATACTGTACATTTCCTCGTTTTGTCTTTCTGAATGACATACTGAAATATGTAAGTGGCAGGATCCCTAATAAGAGAGTTATAAAATATTGCTGGCCCCTGTCCGGCCCTGGACGCCCGGATTAAATATTCTGATACTGAACATTTCCTCGTTTTGTCTTTCCGAATGACATACTGAAATATGTAAGTGGCAGGATCCCTAATAAGGAAGTTATAAAATATTGCTGGCCCCTGTCCGGCCCTGGACGCCCGGATTAAATATTCTGATACTGTACATTTCCTCGTTTTGTCTTTCTGAATGACATACTGAAATGTGTAAGTGGCAGGATCCCTAATAAGAAAGTTATAAAATATTGCTGGCCCCTGTCCGGCCCTGGACGCCCGGATTAAATATTCTGATACTGTACATTTCTTCGTTTTGTCTTTCTGAATAACATACTGAAATATGTAAGTGGCAAGATCCCTAATAAGGAAGTTATAAAATATTGCTGGCCCCTGTCCGGCCCTGGACGCCCGGATTAAATATTCTGATACTGTACATTTCCTCGTTTTGTCTTTCTGAATGACATACTGAAATATGTAAGTGGCAGGATCCCTAATAAGAAAGTTATAAAATATTGCTGGCCCCTGTCCGGCCCTGGACGCCCGAATTAAATATTCTGATACTGTACATTTCTTCGTTTTATCTTTCTGAATAACATACTGAAATATGTAAGTGGCAGGATCCCTAATAAGAAAGTTATAAAATATTGCTGGCCCCTGTCCGGCCCTGGACGCCCGGATTAAATATTCTGATACTGCACATTTCTTCGTTTTGTCTTTCTGAATAACATACTGAAATATGTAAGTGGCAGGATCCCTAATAAGAAAGTTATAAAATATTGCTGGCCCCTGTCCGGCCCTGGACGCCCGGATTAAATATTCTGATACTGTACATTTCTTCGTTTTGTCTTTCTGAATAACATACTGAAATATGTAAGTGGCAGGATCCCTAATAAGAAAGTTATAAAATATTGCTGGCCCCTGTCCGGCCCTGGACGCCCGGATTAAATATTCTGATACTGTACATTTCTTCGTTTTGTCTTTCTGAATAACATACTGAAATATGTAAGTGGCAGGATCCCTAATAAGGAAGTTATAAAATATTGCTGGCCCCTGTCCGGCCCTGGACGCCTGGATTAAATATTCTGATACTGTACATTTCTTCGTTTTGTCTTTCCGAATGACATACGGAAATATGTAAGTGGCAGGATCCCTAATAAGAAAGTTATAAAATATTGCTGGCCCCTGTCCGGCCCTGGACGCCCGGATTAAATATTCTGATACTGTACATTTCTTCGTTTTGTCTTTCTGAATAACATACTGAAATATGTAAGTGGCAGGATCCCTAATAAGAAAGTTATAAAATATTGCTGGCCCCTGTCCGGCCCTGGACGCCCGGATTAAATATTCTGATACTGTACATTTCTTCGTTTTGTCTTTCTGAATAACATACTGAAATATGTAAGTGGCAGGATCCCTAATAAGAAAGTTATAAAATATTGCTGGCCCCTGTCCGGCCCTGGACGCCCGGATTAAATATTCTGATACTGTACATTTCTTCGTTTTGTCTTTCTGAATAACATACTGAAATATGTAAGTGGCAGGATCCCTAATAAGGAAGTTATAAAATATTGCTGGCCCCTGTCCGGCCCTGGACGCCCGGATTAAATATTCTGATACTGTACATTTCTTCGTTTTGTCTTTCCGAATGACATACGGAAATATGTAAGTGGCAGGATCCCTAATAAGAAAGTTATAAAATATTGCTGGCCCCTGTCCGGCCCTGGACATCCGGAAAATCTGTTTCGATTAGTACATTTCTTCCTTGAGTATCCTCAATAAACATACTGGAAAATTGTTATCGCAGAATGCGTAACGGAAAAAATAAAGAATATTGCTGAACTTTATTGCTAAAGTAACTGGGCTATCATTTCCGTGTTACATACATCAGAATTTTTTTCTGATCAACATATTGAAAATATACAGGTTGTTCTATCTGATCAACAAAATTTGAGGTTTCTTCAGGTTGAGCCGAAGTGATAAAATGAAAATTGTTTGTCAATGAAAGGCAATTCGATATCATTGTTATACATGAAATTCCATGAATCAACCTCTATGTATCATAGAATTGCACAAAAAACAGTCAGTAATGTAACTTCTGAATCATCAGGGGTGAAGGATCTATACCGTAGGAGAATTTTTGACGACATTGTTTTCGTTATTCTTGAGTGATGATTGGGAATGATCGAATGATTCAGACTTATTTTCGCAAACAACTTCACATATATCAAAAACACCGTGCAAATTAATGAACCCGAACAAGAATTCCATCAGTATTTTCCTAACAGTAGACATGACTGCAGCCTTTAATTAATCCTCATTCGCGATTTAAAACAATGAAAAACGCTAATTAACTTCAATTACCTTTCCAGGCAATCGGCCAAAATGAAGATGAGCAAAGTAGGGAACCAAACAAACTCGCAGGACCCTCAAGCGGTGAACTCAAGGGTGTTCGTCGGCAATCTGAACACATTCCAGTGCTCGAAAACGGATGTCGAGAGGATGTTTCAACGATATGGGAGGCTGGCGGGTAAGTGACTAATGTCATTCAACATTTTCTATCCATCATTTCCATGGAAACATCAATATATTTCATTCCTTCACTCTGTTAGTCGAGCTCTCTTAGAGTTGAACTCATCTACTGGGAAAGTACACACACACACACCCACTCTCAGATTTTGCCAAATACATTTCCACAACAAATAGCTGGTATATTATACTGTCGATTATCTCCACATTGGGATTTTTTGATGAAAATATCTTGTTGTATGCATGTATGCAAGAGGTGGTAAGAAAGTCGATTATATTCTGTATCAAACTACAGGAAACAGAAAGAAAATTATGAAAGTACTCACATCACATGATCTCCATAACATACAGGGTGGTTCGTTTTTTTATACGGAAAATTCAACAGCGTATAGTACTCGTTGGAATAATAAATAAACTTCCTATGAATATAAACTTTCAAACGCTCCGTTTTCGAGATATAGGGTGTTCAAGTTTCTTTAAAATATCGATTACTTATCGATTTCTCAGAAATGCTATAACTGATTGTGATGAAATTCACATTTATTGTGGAAATATTAATGAGCTTACTTTGACACCAAATACAGTTCATGACTGAGTTACATATTTTCAGAGGCGTGCATTTCAAAATTAAATTTTTTTGGACTCTTAGATTTCTTATCTAATAGCTTCGTTTCAGAAGGAAAAATAAAAACCAAACCTATGCATGTCTCTAAACCTAATGAAAAAAACATTGTAATGATTTAAATCTATTCAGCATTGGCCGTTCCCAAACGTGAGTGAGTATTGATAAAGACTCGTGCATTAGGTACCCTTCTCCTAGGGAAGCGATTTCTGTATTCCCGAACTGCTGCCTCTGCGTTTCCATTACAAAATCCGTAAACGAAATGAATATCTGCATACTCTTCAGTACTAAATCTCATAGGCAAGCGGCAAAATTGGAATAAAAATATTACACTTTTTGATAAAAACACGAAATATCCCCAGTTTGTTATTTCTTTGACAAAACTTCCAGAGTGACAGCACATATAAACAGTGAGCAACTGAGCATAGCCTTTTTCTTTAATTGATATCAAGCTGTATTATTATAACTAGAAAATGTTATAAAATCTTACAAGCGAGCTTTTTTCATTGAAATTTGAAGAATAAATGAAAAATAATAACCCGAAAAACTTATTATTACTGATTATTACCTTCGCCACCCCAGATTCAGCCGCCACTGAATAGTTTTTATAAATAATTTTTATTTAATCTAATAAAGCTCAAAAAGTTCAGTACCTGTGAAAAATTTCGTTAATTCATCTACCGTTTCTAACTTTTGTTAAAAAAAATATATTCAGAAGCGTATTTTTGACACCCAATATCTGAAAAACGGAGCGTTCAAAAGTATATGTTAATAGGAAGTTTTTTTATTATTTCAATTTCAGTTGAATTTTCCGTATTAAAAAACGGACCACCCTGTATATTGGCATGAACGTTTACCTACCACATATCACTTCTCTACATGTCTATAAAAAACTTCACAATTTCCACCAATTTGATTCCACGTTCATTGGCGCCAACCTTATACATCGATCAATTCAATTATATAGAATATAACTGTCATGAAAACAATAAATGAATAAATAAATAAATAAACACAAATAACCTCTCCATTTTTCTAAACGGATTGTTTGGGAACATTTTCGAATTGATAAAATAAACCTCTGGTGTACTCACTTCAATCCTTTTCTGTTTTACGATTCCTTGATTTTCGCCTACTTCGATAAACATTACATGGCGTGAGTGAATCTCGCATGGTTTAGTATGGTGTTGTACCAAAATTACAGGCATCAATGTGACAATCTATATATAACCAATTAATTCAGTACTTCAATACCAATGAATTGTTTCTGGGTTTAGAGCTAAACACTTATGGAACGTCTCTACAATTTTTAGTAAGTGAGTGGAAAGATATAATTGATAGAAATCAGTACATTGTTGCAACAGACCTATTCTGATTGAGAAATTGAAGTATTATGGGATATCAGGTATTGTATTGGATTGGATTCATATTTAACAGAAGACAAAAAACTAAATTTGGGAAAGAATTCTCAGATGAACTCATAATAGAGAGTGGCATACCCCAGGGTAGTGTGTTAGGTCCATTGCTATTCATTATTTATCTGAACGAGATTAACCACATCCTGGACCACACTGAATATTTTTTTTTGCTGCTGAAACATTGGTCTATTGTATACATGGGAACTTGGATCAAGCAATTGTTGAGATGAATATGTCATTAAATAGAATTGAAACATATTTATTTCATAATGAACTCAAACTAAATGTCAGCAAAACGAAAAGTATCATTTTGACATCATCTTATAAATATGATCAAATTGTCTGAGCGAATGCTGTCATAAAAATAAATTATATCAACATCAAAAATGTAACAAATGAAATATTTGGGTTTCATAATTGACAAAAACTCAAAACTAAATGATTATGCTGACTATATTAGTAAAAAAATATCTAAAACACTCTTCTTTTTCTCTCGTATATGTAAGAAAGTGTCTATGTTTGCTAGATTGACTCTCTTTGAAAGTTTAATTCAACCTCATTCTGATTATTGTTTCACATTCCTGTTTCTACTTGAATATGATAAAATAGCACAATTGCGAAAGCTTCAAAATCTGGGTATGAGGTCGATATTGGGGTGTAGCCGTTACACAGCAATTAAATTGAGAACGTATACAATTCATAACTATGATTTTTATATTTAAGCTGCGAAAAGGATTGCTATCCAGTTACTTCCATAAATTCTTAGTAAGAATTAATGGAGTCCATCATAAAAAATACTAACACAAAATTTACAATGAATAGCATGTTTCATAGAGGCCTGAATGAATTCAATGAACCACCACAAATTGTAAAAGAATCAAATTCATTGAGACAATACAATTCAGCACTAAAGAAGTATATTAGTGACCGCTCATTGTGACACTTATAGTATTCTTTCTTCCTTTTTTGTTTGATAGATGTGATCCAATTTATCAATCTAGTGATATTTATATACTTTTGCTTTTCTTCATCTATTATGTTCCTTGTTATTTATATTTTAATAGCTTAACAATGTTGTGAGATATCTATAGATTTTGCAATTGATTTTTGATATATGAGGCATGCCTACACACTGATAAATGAATGAAATAAAAAAATTGTAAGCGACTTGTGACCAATGAAGAAAGGGAATATATTTTGCGATTCAGTCGCATCAAGGTTGGTAGAATCGATGTTGATCATAAGTGCTAGGAATCACGCCATCTAGTTCAATTGTTTATACCAAGAACTAGTCTGACGAAAGAAATAAAGCGTGAGCGCACCAGAGGTTTATCAAATCAATATTCTCGACATCCAGTTCATTGTTTCTGAGAACTGAGGAGGAAAAAATATTGGTTAAGGCTACCTTCGAAGATTGTCAATTGAATTGGAATTGTATGAAGAGAGATGATGCTCATCAAAAGTAAGGAATTTCGAAGGAATGAAGATGTTCCACATAAGAAGGAATCTCGAGACATAATGTTCTGAGTCTCATTCTTGAGCCTGCAGTGGTCGGCGAAGGAAGATATGAATCAAGAAAAGAGCACTGCAATATTTCAGAAACAAAGAAAACTGACACTGCTGCCATGTCCTCCTGATGTAATTATATGTCCAGCGAGATGTCCAGTAATGTTGTAATAGCTGGATCATTAGTACGATTGCTGTCCATTGAACCGTTACCGACAACCTGTTTTTGCAATTAACTCCGAACATGCGAACCAGATATTCTAATCCAGCTTGGTATCGAAATCTGCTGTGAGGTGAAACACTTCTCGATTTGGAAGAGCAATATCAGCTTTGAGATGCAGTCCATGAACCTGGCTTCATGTCCAAACATTGACAAAAAGATACAGTTATATTCAGCTTTCATCGGAGAAACTGATGCTTTCGTCTCAAAGTCAAGAGCATTGAATTCCACAAGCGATTGAGTCTAGTGCCTCATCCGTGATCGTCGAATCGTCAGAAGAATTCGTTTGTCTATAGAACGGCAAAGCTCTGGAATTCAATGCCTATGAGGAAGTATTCCCAAGAACTTATAATCTCCAAAAGTTCTAATAAAACTTCAAAACCTACCTCATCTACCTATATCCTTCCTAGGTACGCAAGATGTTCCTCGAACATTGAAAGGATACCCTTCCATACGCTCCAAGCGATAGAAAACATTTTCGTAGTCGTGAGCGTTGGTGCGTTGTATATCATCAGTGGAGCTGAGAAGTGATTTGGTGGTCATGCACAAAAAAATTGTGGATAGAAAATGAAAAAAGTATTGTAATATATAGAGCCACATTTATATAAGGACATTAATCTTGAAGAGTGTTTGTATCACAAGTCTCTCTAGCGTCATCTACCATTGTTATTAATTTCATTGAACATATTTGGAAATTACTTCGAAATTTTTTCTCAATCGTTCATTGTGAATTAGCTTTGACACTAGCAACTGAAGAATCTCAAGGTGATTTTAGTGTTACTCAGAAGCGTAAGAATCAAAAACATATATCGCAAGTTGTTGTTAACGAATATTCCTGGCCTAATGAACGGTTCCTGACATTTCCCCATCTATTTGTAGTGTAATCGATCAACTTCTCATTGTTACCGTGGAAGTATAAAAGCAATTTGAATATGTAAATTTCTATATATCTACAAGTTGATGAAAATATTCTGGACGAATGGCTTCTGGCTATTGCGATCAATTCTCTCTAGCACATAAATTAATATCTAAATTTCCACCTCGAAGGAAAATCAAGGGATAATATAGGGCTATTGCAATAGGCATTACCTAATGAACACTTCTGAAAAAAATAGTATTTTGAATCCTCAATCATATATTTCTATGATCTGGATAAACGATAGGTCAATGGAAGTGCCTATCACACACTTCCCAGTATTCTGACGATTCAAGCAACAGGAAAACTGAATTCTTGT